CTGATACCGTGCAATCAAGGCCTCGCCCATCTCCGTCCACAAGTAGCCCTCACTAGGTGCCTGCGTTATCTCTTCTTTCGCTGCCCTCGTGGCCATTCTGTCCTCGTTCCAAACCGTCTTGATCCACTCGCCCTCGTACTTATTGTCTCCTCCCCCTCATCACACCCTCCTCTTGCTTCTCCTCCTCCTCTCCCTCGTCGTCGTCGTCGTCCTCCTCCTCCTCCTCCTCCTCCTCCTGTTCCCCCTCCTCCTTCTCCTCCTCCTCCTCATCCTCCCTTCTTCTCGTTCCTCCCCGCTTCTCCTCTTACTTCCCGCTCCCACTCATGCTCTGCTGCTCATCCTTCTCCACTTGGCTTCTCCTCCTGCTCATGCTGCCACCCTTGCCCAGCTCTTCGCTCTCCCCTCCTCCTCATCTTCTGCTTTCCCCTTCCCAGGGCCTCATGGAACACCCTATCGTTAAGCTGAAGCGCTTCTGCTGAAAGCTCTGGGCGAATTTCGAAGCGGGGTCGGGCGGGCATGAGGGAACTTACGCGCTGATGCGGGGGGCGCGGGGAAGTTGGGCGGGCATTGGGGGAGGCAGGGCCTGGAACGATGAGAAGGTCAAGAACCCCATGGAGAAGGTTGGAATGGCATGGTGAAGGTAGGATGGACCTGGGGAAGGTTGGGCGAACGCGAAAGGTTTTAACGGGCGGCCACAAATTCTGGACTATGCGTGCTCCCGCGTGCCCTGTGCCCCACGCGGCCCTGTGCCACGGGCCCAACGAAAGCCCAAAGCCGCAATCGGCTCTGGGCCAGGGTAGCCGCAATAAGCTTGCGGGGATTCTTTTTCCTGGTGTGTGGGGGGGTCTTGGGAACACTGGGGGAAGCTGCATTGCAAAGGGAAGCTCTGAATAGTCAGCGCAACGCGCATGCTGCTCCGCGCCTCGCAGATTTGGGAGGCGCCCGTGCCAAAAGCTACCCACATGCCCCTCCAAGGCGAGGGGGGCTCCCCAAGAGCACTCCCAAGCCTGCCAACCCCCGTGGAGTTCGGGAGCTCACGCGGGCGCCCAGGGAAACCCCACGCGGGGAGCTCTCCGAGCCTCTGCCCCTGGAGCGCTGGAAAGGCCCTGGACTCGACCCTTCCGAGGAATCCTCCTCGGGGGTTCCTGGGCAAGACGCGCGGAGCTCCGGACCCCCCCCAGGAGGAGGAGGAAGGAGGAGGAGGAGGAGGAGGAGGAGGAGGAGGAGGAGGAGGAGGAGGAGGGCCCGCACTGGAAGGTCAGTCCAGGGAAACGTCACTCTTGCGTGTGCAGTGCGGGCGCGGCCGCAAGAGACCCTCGCAAGAAGCCCAACCCTGAACACCCGCGCGCGATGTGCACCTGAGGGGAAGCCCGGATCATCCTGAACGCAGCAGCTTCTCTGACGGCCCAGGAAGCCACCGCGCAGCGCGCGCAGCGAAGAAACCCAGGGCACCCTGACGAAAAGCATGTGGCTTCTTGATGCGCGCCCCCACTGTAGTCGAACTACGCCGACGACGACGACGCCGACGACGCAAACGACCGCGACTTGAACAAGAACACACACGCCGTAAACATACACTTTTGGCGCTCCGCGCGCGCTTCTGGCATCTGCGCTCCCCCTCTCCGGCGCGCGGAGCGCGCCAGGGGCGGTGCCGGAGGCGCCGGGGGCCCCCGGCGCAGTTCCAAGAAATCCGCGCGGAGCGCCAAAAAGTTTTAGGTATACAGTTATGGCATTTTGTTTCTTCTTCTTCTTCTTCTTCTTCCTCTTCGAAGCGACGCCGACGACGCAGACGACGGCGACGGCCCCGGCGGCGGTGCCTCGAACGGGCGCGCCGCCTTTCGGGGGAGCGTAAGACCCGGGTTTGCCAGGACTCGGGTTCGCCATCCTTTTTTGACGACCGCGACTCGGATCTTGACGAGCAGGAGTCTCGTGGGATGTCTGCAGCGGGAGGCCTCGTCAAAATGCAGGCTCGGCCTCGTCACTTTTTTGACGACCTCGTCGGGGATCTCCGAGTCCCCTGTACCCTAGGGCTCCCAACTTCGCGCTTCGCGCTGCGCGAAGCGCGAATAACTTCGCGCTCTCGCGCCGCCCCCCCAAAGGGAGAAAAGGAGGACGAGGAGGAGGGGGGAGAAGGAACGAGGACCGCGAAGCGCGAAGCGCGAATAACTTCGCGCCCTCGGGGGAGCCCTTGTACCCGGGTCTTACGCCCCCCCGAGCCTTGCACAGCGCGCCCGGCTCGAACCTCTCCGGGGGCCCCACGGCCTCGTCGCTGAGCGCCCAGCGCGGCACGTGGCCTGCGCCGGCCACCCGCCCCCCTCGGGCAGAGGGCGCCGGCGTTGGCCCAGCCACCTCTTTCCCTCCCTCCCTCCTCCTTTCTCCCTCCTCCTACCTCCATCCTCCCTCCTCCTCCCTCTCCTCCTCCTCCTCCTCCTCCTCCTCCTCCTCCTCCTCCTCCTCCTCCTCCTTCCTCCTCCTCCTCCATCTTCTCCTCCGTCTTCTCCTCCATCCTTCTCCTCCTCCTCCTCCTCCTGCTCCTCCTCCTCCTCCTCCTCCTCCTCCTCCAGCCCCTGCCTCCCGCGGCCTTGGCGGACCCGACGGCGCCACAGGGCCAGCCCGAAGCAAGTCAGTCCTGGCCTTCCAGCCCGTCCCAAGCCAGCCTCCTCTTGCAGCCGGCCAGGGTGCTCTGGTTCGGGCGGAGGCGGGTGGCGCCAGCGAGACACGACGCGGCACGCCTGCCGCTTCCGCGAGTTGGCGCGCACCCTCTGGCATCGCGCTGGCGCTGGCCGGCAAGCCTGGGGGAAAGCAAGTGCGAGAAAGGGAGGAGGGAGGGAGGAGGGAGAAGGGGCGGAGACCTGTGGCGCTTCACGCCAACGGGAGGGGCGGTGCACCTCTCCATGCAAACATCCGAAAGGCTCCGTGACAGTGTGCCCTGAAGGTGGGGAAACGCCATGTACCAGGATACGCCACACAGCGCCCACAAAGGGCAAGGAGGAAGAGGAGGAAGAGAAGGACCAGTGGAAACCCAAGAATCATCAACGATGTCGGAATAAACAATCCCTCCAAACTCCCTCTTCAAAGGCCCCTACAACGGTTCATTCCCATTGAGGGAAATGCCTCGTTGGAAGACAAGCGTTTGAAGACCCTGAAACATGCCAAAGCATTGTTCTCAGGATTCCAACGCCAAGGACCGCCCTTGATTGTTGCGTCTTGATGATCTTGAACTTTGTCAGAACAACATTCTTGAGATTTCAACACAACGAATCAACGTAATTGTTGCACCCTCATAATCCTGAACCCTTCCAAAACACCATTTCGGTACGCTGATCGTGGGAATCCGTGAAACTCTTACATTCGTTTACAGCGAATGCGCGCGGCGCTAAGGCGAGAACCACATTTTGAAAACGACCCGCCCTCAATCCGTGAAGCTCTTGCATTGTTTACAACGCATGTGCGCGGCGCTAGGGCAGGAGATACATTTCGAATACCACCCGCCCTCAATCCTGAAAGCTCTTGCAATCTTTGTACAATGAATGCGCGCGGCGCTAAGGCGAGAGCCACATTTTGAAAACCACCAGCCCTCCATGTGTGAAGCTGCTGTCGCTCTTCAAGCTCCAGGGTCGTAAGCGGTGAGGAAATCTCAAGCGAAACGCCAGGACCGCCTTAAAAACTGGCCTCGGGGTGCGACAGGGAGAAATTATTTGTAAGAGAAAAGAATAAAGGAGGAGGAGGAGGAGGAGGAGGAGGAGGAGGAGGAGGAGGAGGAGGAGGAGGAGGACGAGGAGGAGAAAGAGGAGGAGGAGGAGGAGGAGGAGGAGGAGGAGGAGGAGGAGGCGGAGGGTCGAGGGGGGGAGGAGAGAGAAACCGAGGAGGGGCTCGATGGCCTCGTGCCTCTACCATGGCACCCCCGGCGCGGCAGCCTCAGCCTGGCCCGCCGCGAGTGGCCACGGCGTCGCCGCCGCTAGCGCGGGCGCGGCGGCCGCTCGCCAGGGCCGGGCCTGCGGGGCCACGACCACAGCGTCCGCGGCGTGCCGCTGCAGCTCGCAGCCCGTGGGCTGCCGCAGCTGCCGGGTCGCCGCGGGACGCCTTGTGCTCCTCGCCGGGGCCAGGTGGCCCTCCACGACGGACGGGGGCCGTCCGCACGCCCGGGTGGTGAGTGCGCTTCCGGCGCTCCGCTTCGCTTCGCTTCCGGCGCTCCGCGGCCCCGAGCGCGAAGGCGTCCTGCGAGACCGCGCCGAGCACCGCGAGATCGACCGGGAGCGGCGGGGTCGGGCGCGCGGGCCACCACGCCCACGCGGGCCGCGGGGCTCTGAGGGGGGCGTGCGGCGCAGCAGGTGCTCTCTGTGCACCGCGCGGCCCAGCTCCTCGCACCAGCCCGCCAGCACCAGCCCGCGCAATGCCGACGAGGCCAGCCACCCGCCGACCGCGCGCACCCCCCGCGCATGCTGGTCCGGTCCTTCGGGCCCGCCAGTGCGCGGCAGAGGCTGCGGTCTAGGTGCTAACTTGGGAGGAGCCCCTGTGCAGAACCACAAGTCAAGGTCCAGACGGAGCCCCCTGCGCGATGCCGAGCTGCGCGTCTGTGGGGCGGTGGCAGGCCCGCGTGGGAGCCCGCAGCCAACCGCTCGCCCCAGTGCCTCCCTCCTTCCTCCTCCCCCCCCCTCCCTCCTCCCTCCTCCGTCCTTACTTTTTCCTCCTCCCTCCTCCTATTCCTCCTTCCTCCTCCTTTCTCCTCCTCCCTCCTCCCGCTCCTCCCTTCTCCCTCCACTCTCTCCTTCACAATTACACAATAGGAAAATACTCCCCCACTTCCCTTGATGGCGTCCCGAAAATATCCGACACCCCCCCGCGTATTGTTTTTTACACACAGGATTCCCGGGAAACGGTTTTTCGTTTTTTTTCTTTTTTTTGTTGTCAAAATGCTGCTCTCGCTGGGGCGCTGGCCTCATTTTCGGGCCCCGCTCGTTCCGAATCGTGCTCCCGCTGCAGCGCTGGCCTCACGGTTTTCCCGCTCGTTTTTTTTCTTTTTTTTGTTGTCAAAATGCTGCTCTCGCTGGGGCGCTGGCCTCATTTTCGGGCCCCGCTCGTTCCGAATCGTGCTCCCGCTGCAGCGCTGGCCTCATTTCCGTGCTTCCGCTCGTTCCGAATCGTGCTCCCGCTGCAACGCTGGCCTCATTTCCGCGCTTCTGCCCGTTTCGACTCGTGCTCCCGCTGCAGCGCTGGCGCCATTTCCCGTGCCATGCCACAGCACACGCGCACACGCGCACACACGCACACCACACCACCACCACCACCACCACCACCACCACCACCACCACCACCACCACCAGCACCAGCACCAGCACCACCACAACCACGCACACACGCACGCACGCACGCACGCGCACCACCACCCACTACGCACGCGCGCGCGGACCCACCCTGCCTCCCTACTCCCTACTCCCTCCCTGCCTCCCTCGCAGGGGCGTTGGCGCCCGGCGCCCAGCGCGCAGCCTGTGCGGGGTCGCTCGCCCTCCTCGGGCACCACGCTGGCGTAGGCCCAGCCGCCTGGAAGGGGGGAGGGGGGGCAGAGTCAGCTTCATGGCTCGGGAGGGCGAGTGCTGATGACGTCCGACGGTCTAATTTTTCAATCGCTGCGCTTTTCCTTCACTTCGTCATTCGGGGGCCGCTTTCGGGCCCCAAGGCCATCAAAAATATGAGTCATAATAGAAACCGTAGTAGTAGTAGTAGTAGTAGTAGTAGTAGTAGTAGTAGTAGTAGTAAAGTAATGGTAGTAGAAGTAGTAGTAGTAGTAGTAGTAGTAGTAGTGGTAGTAGTAGTCGTAGTAGTAGTAGTAGTAGTAGTAGTAGTAGTAGGAGTAGCCGTAAGATTAATAGTCGTAGTAATAAAAAATATGAGTGATAATAGAAGCCGTAGTGGTAGTAGTAATAGTAGTAGTAGTAGTAGAAGTAGTAGTAGTAGTAGTAGTAGTAGTAGTAGTAGTAGTAGTCGTAGTAGTAGTAGTAGTAGTAGTAGTAGGAGTAGTAGTCGTCGAAACCGTCGTAGTAGTAGTAGTAGTAGTAGTAGTAGTAGTAGTAGTAGTAGTAGTAGTAGTAGTAGTACTAGAAGGAGTAATCGTAATGGTAGTCGTACGGATAGACGTAGTAGTAGGCGTAGTAGCAGTAGTAGTGGTAATAGTAGTAGGAGTGGGGGTAGGGGTAGGAGCAGGAGGAAGAGTCGTAGCAGTCGTAGTAGTAGTCGTCGCACTCGTAGTAGTGATAGGAATAATCGTAAAAGTCATAGTATTAGAACTAGTAGTAGTGGAAGTAGACGTAGTAGTAATAGAAGTACTCGTACTAGTACTAGTACTAGTAGTAGTCGTAGTAGTAGTAGTAATAGTAGTAGTAGTAGTAGTAGTAGTAGTTGTAGAAGCAATAGTAGTGGTAGTAGTCGTAGTAGTAGCAACAGTAGTAGTGGTAGTAATAGTAGTACTAGTAGTAGTAATAGTAGTAGTAGTAGTAGTAGTAGTAGTAGTAGTAGTAGTAGTAGTAGTAGTAGTAGTCGTAGTAGTAGAGTAGTAGTGTAGTAGTAGTAGTAGTAGTAGTAGTAGTAGTAGTAGAGTAGTTTGTAATATTAGTAGTAGTAGAAGTAGTAGTAGAAGTATAGTAGTTGTAGTAGTATAGTAGTAGTCGTAGTAGAGTAGTAGTGTAGTACTCCTCATAGTAGTAAGTAGTAGTAGTAGTAGTAGTGTAGTAGTAGTAGTAGTAGTAGTAGTAGTAGTAGTAGTAGTAGTAGTAGTAGTAAGTAGTTAGTAGTAGTAGTAGTAGTAGTAGTAGTAGTAGTAGTAGTAGTAGTAGTAGTAGTAGTAGTAGTAGTAGTAGTAGTAGTAGTAGTAGTAGTAGTAGTAGTAGTAGTAGTAGTAGTAGTAGTAGTAGTAGTAGTAGTAGTATTCATAGTCGCAGTAGTAGTGGTAGTAATACGAGTAGTCGTAAAAGTAGTAGTAGTCGTAGTAGTAGTAATTGCCCTGGCTCTAGCCCAGGACAGCGCAGGTCCAGCAGGGGCGCTACGCACTTGCCGCGGCGCGCTGACCTGGCCACGCGGCCACGCCGCCTGCGCGTCGCCAACGTGCCGCTGCCGAAGACCCCGTAGATCTGGCGTCCAAAATGCTCAGCTGGCTGAGCTCCTGCCTTCTCCAATCTAATTGCTGGTCGATATCGCCGATCAGCGTGTGCGAAGCGCCGGATCTTCGCGTGCATGCCCGACGCCTTCGCAACTCGCTCTCTAGCCGTGCTCCTCGCATGCCGCCCTGCCCCCGCGTCGACGCCGAGGTGCCCCGCCTGCAAGGCGAGGGGGGGGGATGGTGATCCCCCTCTTCTGCAGCCTAGCTGGGACCTCGCGAGCGTTGCGGTGGTGAGAGCACAATCGAACGCGAAGGCCCGAGTCGGCCAATGCCTTGCTGGTATGAGTGATGGCCTTAGTCGACCGCTTCTTAACAACATCTCGAGATCCTATTGCATATTGCGATAGGTCGTCGGTCCACAATCTCAAGTCTACCATCGGGCTACCTTGCGTGACGGTGTCGAGGACGTAGTACGTCATGCGCTGTGCGAACCTCGTTCCGCTGCGCAATCCTTGGGTCACTCTCGCCGTCGGTTGAGAAGCCTCTGAAAACAAATCCCATGGAGCGAGAACTCGTGGACCAAGACATAATTGCAAGTCCAGAAAGAATATGGTTGGGGGGGAACCCAGTGAGAGGGCCTTTGCGGCCAGGGCGATCCAACACATGCTGTCGTAGAACGAGTGAATGTCAATGAACCCAGCTGGGAATGCACTGCCCGCTCTTTGGCCCAAGGTTCCCTCGCAAGGGGGCCATATCCTCGGCGCCGTGGCTATCATGCCGATGGACCGGTCTCCTGGTCTCCTGCAACCTTCTTCACTGAAAAGCGCCCGACGACGAGTGTAAGGTGCCACGGCCATGTCAAGCATGACCCGACCGCGTTGAGAATGCCTGCTAGCTCGTCGAGCCCTTCTAGGGGTAACCGTTCAACATCAAGATGAGACAATCCATCTGCGCCCTGGCCTGCACGAGGGCGCATCTGGTGGACCGCTGCTTGGATCTCAAGTCCTGTGAAGGGGGGGGCCTCCACTTCGGCTGCTTCTCGAACGCTGTCGAACGTGCGGTACAATTTGTCGCGATCCACAGGTTTGCTGCACCACAGACGATGCCAATTTCCAACCTTGTGATCAATAGTATCTTTGGGTGAAATAGTATATTGCCTGGAAAGATCCAGCTCTTCGGTTGGCTGAAGGGTGCCCTTGATGGACCTATGAAGGACAGGAAAAGCAGTCTCCGATACCATCCAGGACCTGAACTCGTCGAGGGAACGACGGAGCGCACGGCCACGAGCTGGACGACATGCTCGCTCAACCGCTTTGACCGTACCTGTCTGAGTATCCGTGGCGGTCTGGAGCGGATCACGCATGACGCTGATCCGCACCTGCCAGTCCCACTTGTTGCTGGCCAGCGTGTGGACGTCGATGGGGTATTCGCCAATCAGCCTAAGGGACGCCTCAGCCAAGGCGACGCATTGCCGACGGCCGTTGCCTTTTCACGGTGCTTCAAATTCCTGCTCAAGACTGTGTGGGCTCTCTCCCACCACGAGCTCACCTGATCGTGAAGGGGTTGAGTCCCAGCCTTCTCTGCCATGTGAACTTCTCCGATCTGGAAGCTCGGACCCTTGGCGCGACATCGTGAGACCACCAGTGTGTTCTGACCGTGGTGTTCGTCGATCGTGGCTTCCAGTCGTAACCCATGCCGCAAGCATGCCGCTGACTGCAGTGATGTGGCGCGCTACACGTGGTAGGCAAAGGAATCTCTGGCTACACGCCACCTGCAATCGGAAGAAACAAATCCAACCTGGGTGCGATGCTCGAGCCAAGACGCTGACGGAATATAGAACAGCAGCAGCAGCAGGGGCCCCCGTGCGGGGCTCCGAGGAGTCGCGAAACCTACCTGAAGTATCACCCTGCTCACTACTAGGCCTCCCCAAGGATGCTACTGGGGGCGGGGAGGGGGGCACTAAGCTAGCAAGGTCTACAACAACGGGCTGTCTTCCAGAATGCTGGGTAGTAAAGAAACCATCTACGGTACCCTGCACACCATCACGAGCCTCGAAATTGCCCTCGCTAGCCCAAGGATCCTCCTCCACCTCCTCCTCCTCCTCATTAGGCCATCCCAGAGCATCTTCTACATCTGGAAACTGTTCGGGGTGAGACGGGGAGACGGCGTCCTGACCCAGCGAGCCCGTCGCGCCAGGCGACGAGGACACCACATCCTTAAACAGTGCTGCACAAGTGGAGCGCACGAGACGAGGGCAGGCGGGCACGACGCGAGAAGAGGGCAAATGATGTCTCTCAAAGAGGAGGAGGAGGAAGAGGGGGAGGGGAGGGGGGAGGGGGGGAGGGGGAGGAGGCGGAGGCGGAGGAGGAGGAAGAGGAGGAGGAGGAGGAGGAGGAGAGGAGGAGGAGGAGGAGGAGGAGGAGGAGGAGGAGGAGGAGGAGGAGGAGGAGGAGGAGGGGGAGGGGGGGAGGGGGGGAGGGGAGGAGGAGGAGGGAGGAGGAGGAGAGCAGGCGCAGGCTCGCCTGTTTCCTTCTGCAGCCTGACGCGCTCGCCGTGCGTGAGCTGTATGCAGTTCGTGTCCCCGGCGCGGGGCGCCCACGAGCTGGTCGCGAGGTGGATGGGGTGGTTCTCCGCGGCGCCCGCCGCTCCTGGCAGAGGCGGGCCGCAGGAGCAGGTGCAGCTCTCGTCGTCGTCGGTCGATCGAGGATCCTGGAGGTTTGGGACCTCCCCCCACCGTCCCCCCCCCCCTCCTCCTCCTCCTCCTTCTCCTCCTCGCCCTCCTCCTCCTCCTCCTCCTCCTTCCGCAGCCATTTTGGCTCAAGATGCCGATTTTGGGGGGCTGTCCGCCTCCTGGCCGCACGGGGACCGCCAGTCCGCGGACTGCATTCGAGCATACTCGAGGCAGGGGTGCCTCGTTTATTGTACGTCTCCTCAGAGTTGTCTTCGCATGGCGGACGTCGCTCCCTCAGCCACGGTCGTGGACGGGGCGCTCCGACGTGGCGGCGTTCAGAAGCGCAAGGGCCATGGCGATAGTGATCCTCCTGGTGGTCGTGGCGATCGTTCGCGGACACCACCTCCCAATGAAGAAGCTGGCCTGGATTCCTTCGCCACAATGGCCTACGTCCAGCCCCTCAAGGACAAGCTCGATTCCATGGAGAGCGCCATCAAGGACACCATCAACGCCTCGGTCTCCTCCGCGATTGGCAGCGCCACGGAATCGCCGTCGGCCAGCAGATCGACTCCGCTTTGCGCCTGGCTGCGGCCTCAGCACGCGCCCCGCGGCCGGGGCTGGCGGCCGCAGCGCGCAGGCGCGCCCCGCGCACCGGGGCGGGCCCCGGCCGGCCCGGCGAAGGCCTCCAGCAGGGCCGCGTGCCAGCACCCCGCGGCCGCCGCCAGGGCTGCGAAGACCGCGGCCGCGGCCGCGCCGCGGCGGCCGCGCCGGCGGCAGGGCATGGCGCGCCACTCGGAGCGCAGCGGCGGGCCCGAGGGGCGAGCGAGCGGCGCGGGCGGGGTGCTGGATCCGCCCCAAGGTGCGTTCTCGAGCCTCTCTAACTTGAGCCAAAATGGCTACGGAATTCAACCGTCTTGAATATTAAATCACGATTGGTTCTAAGATCGAAGATTATCTCGGAACTCTTTCAATCAATCTTAGAACCGACCTCCGTGTGTAACGTCAGTGTGGATTGACGAAACCACGCAAATAACGAGCTGGTCGGTTCAACAATTACTGGGGAGAGCCCCCCGGAATCTTAGATCTTAGAACCGGGGGTGATTCAACATTGAATCTGATTCAATGGCGCCGTCAGCCGACATGCCAACGAGACAGGGAGAAAGAGGGAGGTAGAAAGAGGGACAGAGAGAGAGAGTGAGAGACAGATAGAGGAACAACAATGAGAAAGAGAGGAAGGGAGAGACAAAGAGAGCGCCGCTCCTGCTCCTGCTCCTGCTCCTCCTCCTCCTCCTCCTCCTCCTCCCCCGCTACCTCTTTATTCGTCGCCTCTATCTCGGGCTCCCCCCCCAAGCCCACGAGGGCCATGTCGGTATATTGAAGGCGCGGCCATCGGCACACAGCCACCAGCCGAGTCCACAGTTTCGAAGAAACAAACAAATAACACAGCGCGACCCCAACTGGGGGAACATTTCCAATTGCATGGGCGCTGTGCTCGGCATTGCTTGGCATTGCTGGGCATCGCTTGGCATTGCCTCGCATTGCTTGGCATTGAATCCAGGGAGCCCGAGGAACCCGAGGAACCCCGGGGCAACGGGCAACGCAACAATAAGAGGCACCAGGGGCGAGGAACCCGAGTACCCCCCCGGACAACGGGCAACGTAACAATACGAGGCACCAGTCTTCAATTGAACCAAATACGAACCCCTTTTGGCAAGCCTGAATTGGGGAACCTCAGCTTTACAGTGGTTGGCCACCCCGCAGACCAAGACAAGCAATACACAATCCATGTGTTATTATGCTTCTGTGGTCGAACGGCTGCCAAGACATGAAAAACATTCCGTTGCCTGGTTGTTCTGGTCTGCAGAGCTGCAGAACCGTGCAGAGAGCGGCACGCAGCTGGCAGTCGCGTCCATGGTATTCCCAGACACGCAGCAAAAAGTAAACTTATGTTCTACAGTGTGAACATTCTGCGGGCCAGGACCACCAGAACAAAGCATTGTTTCACAATTGTTCTGTGGTCACAAGCGTGGAGGAGTATCCTCCGCATTCCCCCTCCTCATTTGGAATGCTGGGGGTGGATGACGGAGGGCGGAGGGGGGATGCGGGCCTCCCTGGAGGAGTGGGGGTGGCACGAAACCTGATAAATAGCATGGTTTGCGGATGGTTTGCGGAAACCCTCCTCGCTCAGGCGGGGCCTCCCTTGAGGAGTGGGAGTGGGAGTGTCTCTCTGGCGTGGCCTCCCTGGAGTGGTAGGTATGGTATGGTAGCTTTAGCATGCGGGAACGTCACGCTTTTCATCGCAAAACCATCGAAGCCCAAGAAACCCAGGGCACCCTCGAGGCAAGCGGGGTGTTTCTTGGCATGGGCCTCCACTGTACCCATGCCTTGCCTCCCTCCCGGACTCCCCGACCGAAGCATTCCGCGCATCGGCCTGGGAGCTCCAGGAGCTGCCCCTGCAGTTCCTGGACCCAGCGTCAGGTCGGGCCTGTCCCCCTACAGGAGGATTTTGGACGAACGATATGAAAAATACTCAGACCATACTTCCCAAATGCTTTTAGAAAGGAAAAAGAATCGTCCCCAGACTATTTTCTGGACCATTTCTGAATTTCCGCCCTGTCGAGGGACAGGCCCGACTTACACACCCGGCGTGTGCGCTCACCGTCGCCCGCCGCCCCGCGGCGGGCTCCCCGCGCGGCCCTGGCAGCTCTACGGCAGGTTCGTGTCGTGCCGACCCCAGCGTTGGTTTTTGACACCGCAGGGATCATTCAACCTTGAACGATCGGCCGCTGCCGCAACGTCCGATCGTTCAACATCGATCGATTCTGGGTCGCCGGCGGCGTTCAACCTTGAACGCCCGCGCTAGGGTCGCCGCTGGTCGACACGACGCAAACCTACCGTAGGCGCCCGCCCTCGGAGTTCCCGTGGCCGCCCCGGGCCTGCCCAGGAGCCGCCTCCGGAGCTCCGGGAGCCCGCCCTCCGAGCTCCACACGGCGCCCCGTCCTCCTCCTCCTCCTCCTCCTCCTCCTCCTCCTCCGCCTCCTGCTGCTCCTCCTCCTCCTGCTCCCTCAACCTCCTGCTGCCGCCTCCTCCTCCTCCTCCTCCTCCTCCTCCTCTCCTCCTCCTTCCGCCTCCTCTCTCCCTCCTCCTCCTCCTCCTGCTCCTCCTCCTCCTCGTCCTGCTGCTCCTCCTGCTGCTGCTCCAGCTCCTCCTCCTCCTCCTCCTCCTCCTGCTGCTCCTGCGCCCCGCGAGTTCCAGGAGCCGCCCCGGGAATTGCAGAGGCGTCTCTGGGGTTCCGGGGGCCGCGCTGGGAGTTCCAGAGCCCGCCGTGAAAATTCCAACGGCCACTTCGACAGTCTCAGGGGCCGTCATGCGAGTGCCAGGGTCCGCCATGAGTTGTAAAGCTGCGCTGGGGGTCCCATGGGTCACCCTGGGGGGAGAAGAGGCATCAACAAATACAAATTTAGAGGCGGTCGTAGAGAAACCTATACGAAAAACATCGGTGGCATCTTCGCAGCCTGAGGGGAGCTGCAGGGTGGGACTGGCTCAGCGGGAGAAGCACTGACCTGGAATCGATGATAGGTCGCGGTTATAACGCGGCGATGGGCCCCGCCAGCGGAATCTCACGTTCCTTGGCAAGGCGGGTCGCCCAATCCCGAATCGCCGCTGAACGGGCAATTATCAGGAAACAACTCCTGAGAGGTCTTCGTAAGACCGGTCACGGGCTCTTGCGACTGATTAAAACCCACTGGACCAGATTAGGCCAGATGAAGCCTGGGATGAAGCCAGATTGACTGAGATGATGCCGGTTTCCCACCACGGATGTACCAGTGCCTATGTCCCGTCGTGCCCCGATTCGCTCCCGGCGTGTCCCGCCCGTTGCCCAACTGGCGCCTGTCGGCTCGCTTGCGCCCGCAGGCTTAAAACAAACCAGAGGAGGAGGAGGAGGAGGAGGAGGAGGAGGAGGAGGAGGAGGAGGAGGAGGAGGAGGAGGAGGAGGAGGAGGAGGAGGAGGAGGAGGAGCGGCGGCGGCGGCGGAGGGATGATGATGATGATGATGATGATGATGATGATGATGATGAGGAGGAGGAGGAGGAGGAGGAGGAGGAGGAGGAGGAGGAGCAGCAGGAGGAGGAGGAGGAGGAGGAGGAGGAGGAGGAGGAGGAGGCCCCCCCCCTTCTTCGGCGCCCCTGCGCCCCTGGCACGCGCGAGGGGTGGAGGCCTGCGGGATGCCGGTGGCGGCAGAGGGGCCCAGGTGAGGGTGCCTTGGAGCCGGATGCGCGCCTCCGAAGCTCGCCTCAGCTCCAGAAGCCGTACATTCGGCATCCATCCGCTTTCAGCGAGGCTCTCCTCTGCCTGCGCCTACGCCACCCCCCTCCCCTCCTCCTCTTCCTCCTCCTGCGCCTCCCGCCCAGCCTCGCCACCGCCACCCTCGTCCTCGTCTTTCCTCCTCCTCCTCGCCCGATCTCGCAGTGCTGAGTGAACCTCGCGCAGCTGTTCCGACGAGCGCACGGGGCTGCCTGCACTTCCTCCAGGCGCACGTCTTGATGCACAGCTCAACGGCACTGACCACCGTGGCGCGGTGAGCGTACCCGTGCAGTCCACCAGTATGGTAAGGATGCGCGATAAGGATGCCAGGGCCTTGGACGCCCCTTTCGAAGCTTCTCGGGCGGGGCGCGGCCAGCGAGAGCGGCGAAGGATGGACCGAGGAGGCAAGGATGCAAGGGTACCCTTGGGAAGGCTGCCCATCCTTGCTACGCGGGTTGGCCGCAGTCGGCAGAACAGCTCAGAACCTGGAGCAGTGCAAAGAAAGGCACACGGGAGATCTTCTGGGCCGCCAGACCCCGCGCATCGTGCCCCCGCGATGCGCGATCCCCTTCGCGCCCTCGCGCCCTCGCGCCGCCCCCGTGGAGAAGGGCAACCGCTCAGGCCGCGACTCAGGAAGCGCGATGATCTTCGCGCCCTCGCGGGCGACCTGGAAGCAAGAGGCGAGGCATCGACGAGGAGGAAACGCACCACCCGTCTGTCGGGAGGAAAAGGCACTGCCGCACGCAACGTCAGCGATCCTGCACCGGTGGCACTGGTCACTGCGTCGACTCGGTCAGGAGCGATGGAAGCCTCACATGTCCGCCACCATGCCGTAGGCACCAATTGGAGTCTCCTCATCCTCCCAAGGCCTCAATGTTGAATACTTTAAAATGCTTTGGGAACTTCTGCGCGCGTCTGTAGAGCGTCGCCCGTCCTTTCCCGAAGCCTCAGGAGCATGGCTTGGAATCCAAACCTCCAACATGCGCTAAGATGTTCCGCGGGGTTCGTCCTGGAGCCGTCTCGGGGATCTCTTGGAGGCACTGGTGACCGGCGGTGGCCAGTCCAAGAGTCTGCGATTGCTTCGTGTATGAGCTTAACACTCGAGTCTTTTCGGTCGTAAGGGCGTCCAACATGGCCCAAGCGTCTCCACAAACTGCCACAAGGCGGCCCCCGAGTACCCCAAGAGGGACAAAAGAGGAACCAACAAGTGCATTACCACTACATCGGTGGACGTCCCCACTCCAATCTGAACCCAAGACGGCCCGAGGCCCCCAAGAGGTGCCCGAGAGGTGTACAAGAGGCCCCGAAGAGGCCTCCGAGATGCCCCCAAGAGGCTCCCTAGAGGCTCCCCGGATGCCCTCAGGGGGTCCCAATAGCTCCGAAGAGAGGTTCAAGAGGCCAATCTTCCAGGAAGCTGTGGTACTACCGACCATGCTCCCACTACCTCGCGCCCACAACCCAGGCAAGATGGCGGGACGGGCCGAAAGGTCACTAAGATCCGCCGCCCTCTGTCATCCACAGTGGTGCAGAGCGTGCCAGACTCGTCGAAACTATTGTTGGGCCCCTCCAGAACCTTCGGTCAAACCCGCCAGACTCCAATTGTCATCGGCTTTTTCGGCCAAGATGGCCTCCACAAGACGGCCATGATGGCCTGCGATGTCCTCCAAGACGGTCCCAGCGCCAGGGGCCCCCAAAGCGACCGAAGAGCGGTCCAAGAGAGCCTTCAAAACGCCCCGAATGAGCAGAACTCACTGGTTCCTCTTGGGTCCTTGAATGACTTAAGACGTCTTGCCGTTTCTGTCTTAAGAACATCCAAGACGGCCACACGCAGCCCAAACTGTCACCCCAATACGGCCCACGAGGGCCCCAAGAGAGCCCCAAGACGGTCCAATGAGGCTCCCAGACGGCCCTCAAAGATCTTAACATGGCCTTCAAAGGCGCCCCAAGAGTGCCAAGACGGCCGAAGGGGGTCCCAATGATACCCAAGATCGCTCGAACAAAGGCCCCAAACTGCTCCAAGACGGCTCCAGAGGACCCCTCCATTGACGGAATGACGCCACTGCTCGGCATGTTCATGTACGGATGCACGTGTATGTGTGTTCGGCCAACTGGTGCTCTTTCCACAATTGCAGAGGCGGTGATGACTCGCCGTAGGCGTCTTCGATACGCAAATCGCGCTCAGGAGAAGGGTCTGGAGTGCACCTGCAGGGCAAAAGAGAAGTACTACACTCTTCATCAGGCCAACGTGTTGCCTGCAAGTAAGCAAAAACGGTTCATCCATGGCTCTTCCCTCCAACTCTTTGTCTGCCCTCATTCCGAATGCTGCGCTGAACTCTCCGTCCCTGTGCGTGCCATCACTTGCGCCGCGCCCCTTCCTGCTTCTGCGCTCCACTCCGTACACCATGCAAGTCGGTTGAGGGATGACGCGGATAAAGCCGCAGCGCTGGGAGCAGGGAAGAGAGGCGCAGCATCGCAGAGATGGGCGCAGAGTAGTGCAGTGCCTGAAGGACGCAGAAACATCGCCATGAGAAGTGTATAGACGGGGAGCGTGTGCATCCAACTGTCCCCGACCAACACAAGCTTGACTTTTCCAACTCTTGCGTACCAAATTTAGCTTCCGTCAGGCCTCTACCAACCTCCCGTGGGATATCAACATCGTAATTGCTTCGGTCAACTTTCGCGAGCCTCCCGCTAAGAATCATACAAACCTCCTATTTCCGAAGAGGACGTTTCATGTGGAATGGGTCGCGTAAGAGAGCCGAGAGAATCGGACAGTGGAGCGGAGTGGAAAGCCCTCGCCAGAGAGCTGTACGAGGTGCGCACGCCAACAACACACTCGCTAAGGGCGCCTATCTGCTCCATGGACGCTGGATCTGGCAAGACCAGCACCGTGGACGGCTGCGGCTTGTGGCGTCGGCGCAGCAGGTGAGCTGTAGGCTGCCGGTTCGGCTGCCACCGTGGGTTCCTTAGAAATCGTCAACGCACAATCAGCGATAACATGGCGTCCCCCGCAAATATGTCTGTTACAACTGCCAAAACCAACGATTCACAGCACTTCGCGAGAGGGTAAAGGGAACACCTGCCATGCAAGTTGCGTGAGATACGAGAGAAAGAGAGAGAGAGAGAGACCAGCTACACATGTGGGCTGGGGTGGTGATTGATATCAGACCGCAGAGCAGGAATGCAGATGAGCTTTCAGTAGGATATGGGGAGTACGACTGGGATTGAGAATGACGCCATAATGAGAGGAGCCTCGTTCTGAGGATACTGAGGCAAGCGCAGGACGAGGCCGGTCCCACGTGACCTCCCCAGTTGTGCTGTAGTAGTAATAATCTTTGCTGGAAGGGTCCCACGCAGCCTTCCAGCCGGGAGGAAGTCCGTCCACGCCAACCTCCTTGGACAGGGATCTTAACACAACATCCCCTGCCCATCTGCAACAATCCAATCAACCTCCCCTTCTGGCGCTCACACTTGGACACCACATTGATATCGGTCGTGCCCGGTAGCTTCTGTGAAAGGCGGAAGAGACGGGAAGAGACAGAGAGAGAAGGTCAAAGAGGGAGGGATAGAGCGAGAGAGAGGCAGTAAAGGGAGGGAGAGAGAGGGCAGGGAGAGGAGAAGGGATGACGGGAGAGGAGGAAGGTTAGTAAAGTGGGAGCTCGAAGGAATGGAGAGGCAGATGGTAAGAAGAGGGGAGAGGACGATAGGCAGGCACGACTATCTTGCACGCGCGAAGCCTCAACGAGCACGCTTCCCTTCGCAGCAGTTTCGGGCCTCGCCCCACCAGAGAACTCAATATAAGAGACGCCTGGGCTCCTGACGACAGTTGCTTCTAAGCACGATGTATACTCATCGGTCGGAAGAAGTAGGTAGAACTTTAAAGTAGGAAGGCGTTGGAAGTATATTGGGTTTCCGCCCGCCTCCTGAAGAGGAGGGGAGAGGGAAAACCGCTCGACTCTTGAAGAGGGAAGGCGGCTAAAGTAGATTGGGAACTGGAAATCAAAAAATCCCACCAGCCCTTTGGGCGACAGGTGGTCTGAGGAGGGTCTCTTTCCTCTTCCACACCCCCTCTTCCCTTCGGGGAGGGGAACCCTCCCACCCTCCCCGTCCCCTCCCTGAGGTTTTTTGGGAGGGGGGCCGATGTGTCAGAGGGTCCTTTTTTCGGCCCTTGGGAGGGCCAATGTTTGACACCCCTCACGAGGATAGTTGCCCCCGAGGAGGGGAGGGAAATCGAGGACACCCCTCTTTTGACCGACCGCCTCCAAGATGGCCCTAAGAGGCCCTCCAGGGCTCCAAATAGGCTCCCAAGAGGGCCCACAGAGCGCCCTAAGAAGCCCCAAGAGTGTTCCAAGAGACACCCCAGAGACCCCCAAGAGGCTCCCGAGCGGCCTCAGAATGCCCAAGATGACCTCCAAGATGGCTCAGATAGCCCAATCTGGCTCAAGATGGCTCCCAAGATGCTCCAAGCGGCCCCAAGACCGCTCCAAGACGGCTCGACATGGCCACGGAGCCTCCCAAGCCTCCCTCGCTGTTTGACTATGCGTGTCCCTTCCTCTCCCCCCGTCAACTCTCATGGGCATCGTTTCTGGATGGGCTGGTGGGGTTACTTTTTAGTCAGCGGCCGCGGGCGAGCGCGCCGGCGGCGAGTCAGGTCAAAGCGGGCTACGCAGAGGCGAATTAGGCAGAGGAAACGCGGGAAACATAGAGCAGAGCAATGCGCGAGGCGACGGCTAAGCGCCGGCCGAGGCCTCAGGGGGGGGCCGAGGGGACAGAGACTGAGGGGAACTGCCAGCGTGCAAAGCTGGTGGGTTTACGCGAAGCGTCTAGAATACCTACTTTCAACGACCGATGGGTAACCACACCGGCCACCTTCCTGACAACGACGGCACGACAAACCAAAAGCGATGACGTGCCATCGTTGCCGTGGCGGCCACCGCGGGCGACGGGCCACGCTCCACCTCACACACCGCGCCGCCGCCCCCACGCATGGCATGCCCCTCGGCAGCGGGCGCCGTGCTGCTGGTCGAATAGCTGCTGGATGTTTTTTTTGGGGGGGGGTCGGGAGACCAGCAGCTACGGACTACCTACCAGACCACCCTAGCCCAACCCGACCCGACGACCCGAACTTCGGGTTGGGGGGGTACGAGTTCCACATGTGCTTTCTCAATGATTCCTTCACCGCCTCCCCACGCAAGAAACGGATGGCAAATCGGGGCCTACGGGTTGGGTTGGGGTGATTTGGTGGGCGGTGAAATACTCCTTGCTCCGGGCCCATCACCAGCAGCGACACAACCTTGCTGTACCTCTGGCCTCGGCCGGACTGCACAGCCTCGCGATGCCCTGGCGGACCATGGCCTGCTCTTGAGAACGAGGTGATACCCTGTTAGTGCAAGCACCGTCTGAGCATGGCAAGACACCGCGCAAACGAATCACAGTAATAATATGGTTGGCGTTGTCCCATGCACCTAACATGCACCAAACACAGACAGTGCAATGCCTAGACGCGCCACTTACATTTCATGGGTCGATCCGTGCAAACCAACCTTTGGAAGAGGATATCACTTGAAAGGTCCTAGCTGTCTCTGCATGTTCGCTTCACGTACGGCTGAGACATATTGGTTGGTACTTCGACGAGCGTGTATTCTAGCTGACCTACGATTACGCAATGAAATGCACCACGATTTAACTAGGCTGCAATGAAGCTACACTAAATCACTAGGCAGAACAATAGACATATACTCATCTAGTAAGTTTACCGGCATCACATGGGCCCGAGCGGCCCCGAGTCATAGTTGTCGACATGCCATCATATTGTACAGCGCGATGCTGCCTACACGTCATATGTATACATTTGAAAAAGCGGTAGGTGCCAGGAAGGTAGCAGGAAACGGCCAGGCACCCAACAAACACTTTCCATTAGTGCGATGCTCATATAGTGATAAACAACTGCTTGTATCAAACCCCTTGATTCAAAAAAACAGATGCGCACACAGTGTGCATGTAAGGGATGGGGGCGATCACAGTGGCACTGCCAGATTTACAACTCCCCAGATCCTTTGGCGCCACGTGTATGTCTTCACCAGCAGGAGGAGAAAGTTGTGTCGATCCAGCCCCTCCAGAGGATGACGACGGAATTGCAACCTTCGCGCCCGCATGCGGGTGTTTCTCATGACAGCAACATAATGGCGAGTCCCAGGCTTACGCACCGAACTCACTTACGACAATGAGCTCCCATGCGCATCCCCCCAAACAAAGCACGGCTAAGAAACAATCCACGGCACCACCACAGCGATTCATCCAGCATAGAGGTCTCTGGAGTTGACGCGCAGGATACGAATCATCCCAGACCCGCCCCGAGTTGATCGAGTAACAAAGCGATCTCATTCTGCCTGGATCTCGAAACACCAAAGCATATTCGGGACAAAAAACATCTGCAGAGCACGAAGGCCCCCCGAGGCCGCCCACGCGCAGCTGATCCGAGCTGGGCTACACCACGCCGAGGAGACCCCAAAGACGACCAAGATGGCCTCAAGACTGTCCAAGAGGCCTCAAACACGCTCCAAGAGGACTCCAAAACGACCCCCAAGAGGGCCCCACGAAGCACAGCAACAACCGCCCCAATCCCTTGGGAAAGCGAATCTGTTTTGCATTGTCCCATGTTTTGTTGTAGTAGCGTCCAGGACGGCTGAAGAGGCCCCCACGATCACTCCAGGACGGCCGAAGAAGCCCCCAAGAGGGTCCCAAGACGGCCCAACAGGTGCCCAGGACGGGCCAAGAGGGCTCCAACAGGGCCCCAAGAGGTGGCCAAGAGAAGCAACTCGAACTGACCCTCCGAGCCTTGCGCTTCAAGAGGACCCCCGAGACTGCCAGCAGGCGCCCAAGAAATCCCCAAGAGCAAGAAGAGTCCGAACCGAACTGGTAACCGTGAACCGGCGGCTCCTGCAACCGAACCGCCCGAACCGCGGGAGCCCGAACCGGCCCGGCTGAAACCGGACCGGGCGGTTCGAACCGAACCGGCCGGTCGAAACTGGCCCGAACGGCAAGCCCGAACCGGGTGGAACCGAACCGGGCCCCGGGACTCCCCACCGGCCCAAGAAAGCCCCCAGAAGAGCCCCGGTGCCGGCAC